ATAAATATAAGATAAAAACAGTTAAAAATCGCTAATGAAACAGTTCAGATCAAATTCCACATTCAACCCTTTGGGGGCTTGGGTTTGTAAGATATATATCCACTTTGACTCCATTTTACTCAGTGTGCGGATCTTATGGCTTCCACGCCAGTGTTTTTTGTATCTTTCTATACCCCAAAATTGTAGTTCTGCTGGATCTTTCTTGTGGCATATTGCAAAGTGTTTGGATACGCTATGTTTGGGGAAGCCCTTTCTTATGTTCTGAACATGTTCCCTTATCCGTTTCCAGAGAGGTCTTTTGGTGCGTCCAATGTACTGAAATCCACATTTACACTGTAACCCATATACAACCCCCTCCGTTTTACATGTTATAAAGTCTTTAATCTTGAATTCTTCTCCACTGATCGTTGATTTAAAAGTGGACCTTTTCTTATTCAGCCCTTTCACAGCTTTACATGCATAACATTTTTTGCAAGGAAAAAAATCCATTTGTATCTAAAAACGTAACCTTTTTCTTTTTGACAGGTGGATTTACTATATTTTTCACTACTTTATCTCCTACATTAGGTGCCTTTCTATATATGAATCTTGGTTGCTGTGATATTATTTTATTCAATGTGTGATCCATTTTTAAAATAGGCCAATGCCTTCTAAAAAATTTGCTCCACCTTTCTATATTGGCTGTTAAAATCCAAGATCAACATAGGTTCATCTGTAAAGGTCCGGTCCTTAACTCTATCCTCCAATAGTATCTGCCTATCCATATTGGACTCCTCCCTACTTTGGGCTTTAATTCGTTCCTCTTTATACCCTTTCACTGTAAATCTTTTTTCCATGATTTTAACCTGTTGTTGGTAATCTTCTTCATGTGTGCAATTGCGTCTCAACCTAATAAACTGACCCTTAGGGATATTCAAAAGCCAGGGTGGGTAATGACAACTGTCCAAAGGTATGTATCCATTACGGTCCACTTCTTTATAAAAGTTACATGTATAAACATTTAATTCCTTAATAGAAATTTCCAAATCCAAATATTGGATGTTTTCTACATTATGGATCCATGTGAAGCTAATGTTTTTATTATTGTTGTTGAGTGTACCTAGAAATTCCAATAAATCAGATTCATTTCCTTCCCATATCATAAAGATATCGTCTATATATCTTTTATAGACTATCAATTGTGTAGGGATTTGTCCATATATACTCTCTTCCTCCCATTGGGCCATAAACAGGTTAGCCACACTAGGGGCAAACCTCGCCCCCATGGCTACACCCTTAGATCATATCTATTAGATAATGGTATGGGACTTCGCCTATCATCTCTAGGGGGATACCATCTCTCATATTCTTGTCTAGGGCTTCGCTGGTACTGATAATGGTCACCTCTCCCTTGGTAGGGACGGAAATAGAATATTAGTAAGTAAGTGGAGACGTTTCATCTTTATATACAATTATTGACCATGAGGAGGCATTATCAGCAGTGAGCTGGGGCCTTAGGGAATATAGTCAATTGAAGTGGAAACAACGGAAATATATTCTAGAAGCCCTACAGTATTGTCTAACACACAATTACTTCTGGCATGGTGACAAGTTCTACAAACAAACTAAGGGTGTAGCCATGGGGGCGAGGTTTGCCCCTAGTGTGGCTAACCTGTTTATGGCCCAATGGGAGGAAGAGAGTATATATGGACAAATCCCTACACAATTGATAGTCTATAAAAGATATATAGACGATATCTTTATGATATGGGAAGGAAATGAATCTGATTTATTGGAATTTCTAGGTACACTCAACAACAATAATAAAAACATTAGCTTCACGTGGATCCATAATGTAGAAAACATCCAATATTTGGATTTGGAAATTTCTATTAAGGAATTAAATGTTTATACACGTAACTTTTATAAAGAAGTGGACCGTAATGGATACATACCTTTGGACAGTTGTCATTACCCACCCTGGCTTTTGAATATCCCTAAGGGTCAGTTTATTAGGTTGAGACGCAATTGCACACATGAAAAGGGGGGGAAGATTGTACCAACAACAGGTTAAAATCATGGAAAAAAGATTTACAGTGAAAGGGATTTATAAAGAGGAAACAAATTAAAGCCCAAAGTAGGGAGGTGTCCAATATGGATAGGCAGATACTATTGGAGGATAGAGTTAAGGACCGGACCTTTACAGATGAACCTATGTTGATCTTGGATTTTAACAGCCAATATAGAAAGGTGGAGCAAATTTTTAGAAGGCATTGGCCTATTTTAAAAATGGATCACACATTGAATAAAATAATATCACAGCAACCAACCAAGATTCATATTATAGAAAGGCACCTAATGTAGGAGATAAAGTAGTGAAAAATATAGTAAAATCCACCTGTCAAAAAGAAAAAGGTTACGTTTTTAGATACAAATGGATTTTTTTCCTTGCAAAAAATAAATGTTATGCATGTAAAGCTGTGAAAGGGCTGAATAAGAAAAGGTCCACTTTTAAATCAACGATCAGTGGAGAAGAATTCAAGATTAAAGACTTCATAACATGTAAAACGGAGGGGGTTGTATATGGGTTACAGTGTAAATGTGGATTTCAGTACATTGGACGCACCAAAAAGACCTCTCTGGAAACGGATAAGGGAACATGTTCAGAACATAAGAAAGGGCTTCCCCAAACATAGCGTATCCAAACACTTTGCAATATGCCACAAGAAAGATCCAGCAGAACTACAATTTTGGGGTATAGAAAGATACAAAAAACACTGGCGTGGAAGCCATAAGATCCGCACACTGAGTAAAATGGAGTCAAAGTGGATATATATCTTACAAACCCAAGCCCCAAAGGGTTGAATGTGGAATTTGATCTGAACTGTTTCATTAGCGATTTTTAACTGTTTTTATCTTATATTTATATGTTTTGATAAGCACATCCCTCATGGGCATACTGTGTCAGTCTGGTAATTCGTTTTTTTCTCTGATTTTATCGCCGTGCGTTTTTTACGCGGTTTTTTTTTAGTAACAAGACATAATTCTATTTTTTTATATTATATTAATAAAATTGTCATTTTATGCATTTTTTAATGATATTACAGACTTCCTAAATCAAACATTTATGACAGTTACATTTGGTTTATTATCAAGAAATAACAGCATCACATACCAAGGTAAAGAGCAGATTGAGTAAACCTATTATCAATAGAGATATTAGTATGGATATATATGATTATAATAAGGACCTTTCATCGGTTTAGAATATGATTAATATAACATCTTAATGGCTATTTCATTTAGCAGTCACATTGTGTTGCGGCAGTGAACTAAGTGATTATAGCATAGAAATGGGAAATATAAAAAAATGGCTGCGGTTATAATGTCCCTTAATATCGCGACTTTGACAAAATGGCCACGATGATTGACAAATTACCAACAAATGGACAACAAGATCCCGCTATAAATACCAGGGGAAATGACCATGACACTATCCTGACGAAGCTACGAGGGGGCGTGGCGTAACGCGTAGATGTGACGTAGTGACGTGGTGACGCACTTCCGGGTTGGCGCCATTTTGCTACACCAGAGTGCCTCAGTACACCCATGAGAGGTGTCACAAGCGATTTTTCATCTGCTGAAATGTGAGTTGTGACTTGGCGGTTTTTTTAATGGAATAAACGTGATATACAGTTTTGCACTATGGAGGATCTTTGTGTTTTTGTTTCATGATTATCACCATCCCATGAGTTTTTGAATACATGTACAGCGGTACCTATTCAAGGGGAATAGCAGATGGTGAAGGAGAGAGTATTGGAGAGTGAAGAGTGTCTTGCACCTGGAGATAACGCATAGGGTCAAGGTGTGACCCGTAAAGCTATTTGGCCCCTGTGGGTCGCAGGGGGAAGCTGAGCGGGCATGCTAGCCATTTAAGGATTGTCACCTACCACTTTGCACCTTCACAGAAGCATGTGTGTCCTCTAAGAACTTATTTATGCATTTATATGTACTGTGGACTGCATTTGTATCTACAAACAGCAATCATATGCTATAGGGGAATTACTGTGTGCCGTGGTTGTGCGGGCTGTATAACACCGAATTCACTTTCTTCTCACGGTTGAAATCCACTCTATTGTTAATTATATCAGCGCTGCATCAATATTGATTATTTGTATATTTATATGTCCATTTAAAAGGTGAGGATTGGATGTTGGCAGCTGTTTCTATATATATTGTAAGCTTAGCAGCGCAGGTGGACTTATTACTTACTTTCTTTTAAAGAGAAACCAATGACATCACAGCTTTTTAAAATTTGGATTGCAGCTAAAAGAAGTGACAAAAAAAATACTGATTTTTGTTGAGGGTGGAGAAATTTAAGGTAAAATTTTTGCGAATCCGGAGCTCAGCTTTAACGTCATCTTGACATAGATGTCTCTCTCTCTCTCTGCTACTCCGGCAACAGAGAACGTGTCTGTGTGCCAAGCCAAGAAAATGACCACTTTAAACACATGACGTCTCACAAACGTGGCCTTGACAGTGCCGCTTATCAAATGTGCAAATTCACAGTTTCATCTGCTGTCGATAATAGATACCTATTAACAGTTTACGCATCGCCATTCTGAACATGGGAACACGTCCCGATTGGGCGCTTTGAGGTAATGGCATTAGGAGGCAGCAAAGCGACGAAGGCTGACATCTGTTGCGCAATATGGCGTACTTAATGAATCTTTCCGATCGATGTATTGAACCGTCATTTAAAATGAATGAGAAGTAAATGGCAGCACATTTTATAATTAGAAGAACTGAGAAAAGAGCAAGTTGGTGCTTGTTTCTGGGGGGATTAGTGCGCCTGGAGGGTGTTCTGCACTTACTTGCTGTGTCTGGGGTTCTGGGGGGGTGAACAGTCAGTGCACTCCCAGAATGCTCCACAAGGTGAGGAGGTGACACAGGGGGTTCAAGCTGAGGCTTTCAGGCAATCTATAGCAAACATCTAACAATGCAGTTTAGTGTTACTAAACCCTGGACCCCGCATTCACTATATCTGCTCTCCCCTGGACCCTGCATTCACTATATCGCTCATTCACCCGGACCCGGCATTCACTATATCCGCTCTCCCGGACCCTGCATTCACTATATCCGCTCTCCCCGGACCCTGCATTCACTATATCCGCTCTCCCGGACCCTGCATTCGCCATATCTCGGTCTTCCCGGACTCTGCATTCACTATATCCGGTCTTCCCGGACCCTGCATTCACTATATATCCGCTCTCCCCGGACCCTGCATTCACTATATCCGCTCTCCCCGGACCCTGCATTCACTATATCCGCTCTCCCCGGACCCTGCATTCACTATATCCGCTCTCCCCGGACCCTGCATTCGCCATATCCGGTCTTCCCGGACCCTGCATTCACTATATCTGGTCTCCCCGGACCCTGCATTCACTATATCCGGTCTCCCCGTACCCCATTCACATTCCCCACATTCACTATATCCGGTCTCCCCTACTCGCCGTACCCGTACCCTGCATTCACTATATCCGGTCTCCCACAGTACACAGAAAATGGAAGTGCAATTATTGTAGTAAATATAAACTGCTAAATACCTTTTCTCATCAGCAGTATAGAGCAGTCTTGTGACTTCTATTAGTGTCTAGCAGACTACTGGTTAAAGCTTGTAGGAGTTTTCTTTCTGCTCTAGGAGAATGCAGAACCCCTGACCTGATTGGCCCAGTGCTGATCACATGCACTCTCCCAAGAAAAAAAAAAAAAAGCTCTCTAGCAATACACACCAAACTGAGCATGTGCAGCTTTCTCCCAAAGCTCTGTTCTGTCAGGAGATGGATTGGGAACAGTAGAAGGGGAGGATCAGAGAAGACAGGATCAAACAGCCTTTTTTACACAATGCAGAGGATTAGCCCCTTACTTTCCACAGGGAGTATAACAAGCATGCTTTACTGCATCTACAGACTGATTTTATTGTTGTGGGTTTAGTAACACTTTAATTACACCCGGGGGAACAGATTTACCTGCTACAGGATTGCTTTGTATTCATCCAGCCTTGTGATCCACACAGCACAGCCAGGTCGGTGACCACACCTTTCTGTACAGCTGGTAAGGCTTAAAGCTTGGTCACCGACACCCCCAGCCTGTGATTGGACAAGGAAGAAGAAGCAGTACACTGAAGAGGTTATTGCTCTGATTTTTGCTTGAAAAAGCACATCTGAGAAAAGCAGATCCCTGGCTGTGCGCTTCCCTGAATCTGAAATTTGCCACGATACGTTTACTAAAACTGGAACACAGTCTAGTGAAGCTACGCTGCGTGTTCCTGTATGATTCACATGCTGTGCGATTTGATCCTATTCATTTTAAAAGGGTTTCAATCGCACCAAAGTCATACATGCACAAATTTTAGAAACGCACTGCTACCGGATTGCATGGTTGTTTTGCACCATCTGACTTGGTGCAGGCAAAACGCACTGCATGTGACCTGTGTTTGGGGTGTAGCTGACATTACCGCTGTTCACAAGGGCAGTGCATTCTGGATGTGGTGCAGCAAACGCACAGAGTGGCATTTATTGTATATCAGCAGCTGTTATGGGAGGACACACGTTGTTACTGCTGTTGTCAGTAGTGGTGTTGGTGTGGTTGTGCTTGTTGGGTGTCGTATGAATACGATAAGGGCCAATTCACACTATAGAAACACAGTCCAGATGCGTTCCTGCATACGCGTTTCTGACACGCTCCGGTGCGTTTTTTATGCATTCCGGATTTTTCCCTCCTTTTCTTCAATTTAAATAGGGTCATGTGCGTTTTACTGTGTTCCAGTACAGTTCTGTGCAGAAACAATGGAGCCTGTTCTACTTTTTTTTTCTGCACTTGGAACTGCAAGCACTGATGTGAACTGGGACATTGACAACCATATAACCTGCTTTCTCTGCGTTTTGGATACAGAAAAAAAAGCAACTGAAACACATGTAGTGTGAACTGGCCCTTCTGCAGGTCATACATGGTTCGAAATTCCGAACGATTTTTGTATGAAAATCGGACCTAAGAATAATTGTCCGATTTTCGCTCTGTTAGTGGGGCAATGGCATTGGCCGATTTTCGCTCTGTTAGTGGGGCAATGGCATTGGCCGATTTTCGTAGTTCCTCCCCATTTCGTTTATCGTGCATGCTGGAAAACTTGTGAAAAACAAACGATTTTCGAAATCACCATCAGATTACAGAACGAACGACGTTTCGATTTTCGGATGAAAAATCGTTCGGAATTCGAACCATGTATGACCTGCATTAATCTATAGGCAGATTTATTACACGCCAGCAGTAGTTATGGGCGGTCATACAGTATGGTGTTCTTGTTGGTGGTGTTTTTGGTGTTGGCGGTGATGTTGTTGATGGTGGTATTGTAGATGGCGGGTGGACTGAGTAATAATGTGCAGCAGCGGACTGACAACTCATGGGGCCCCCGGGCAATAGGGGATCATGGGGCCCCTGTCCTTGCCCAAAATCAAAAAAGCCTATGAAAAAAGGTACCAGGGGCATCTCATGGGGCCCCCTACTGACCCCGGGCCCTCGGGCAGTGCCCGAGTTTCCAAATGGTCAGTCCGCCCCTGGTAATGCGGATGATGCGTCCTGTGATCGGCGCACATTTCTCATCCAGCGGATCCTCCTGGTGTAAATCTCTTCTCATATCAGACGCTTAGCGAGGGAGTGACGAAAGCCACGAAGAGGCCGATCTATAAATAGAAAGGCGAGAAACGCTGTTAGAAAGATAAATCTCAAAATCCTAAACAATCCGTATCTATGAATTCTAGCAAGTCGTTGTATACTGTTATCCTTAAAGAGATCTTGTCACCTCCCCCACCCTCCAGTTTTTATATTCCTTTCCTACAACCAGGGTGGGGCCCCCATGAGGTCTCTAAGGTGCTTTTCTGAGCAGACAACTTAAATATTTTATTAAAATCATTATTGTATGGCTGTTCTGGCAGGGGGGGGAAACCCTCCCGATCTTACTTTTGTATATTTTACTTTTCAGATGGGATTGCCCTTTAAAGTCTCACACAAGCTGAAATTTCAAATCAAGCTCACATAACTGAAAACCAATGGAATGATATTGAACGGTGAGACCTAAGGAGTTGACACAGCAAATGCTACTCCTGTTGGCTCCTTCCTAGAACAAAGAGCTCAGAGGGCCAAGGTTAGTTGACGGGGGGGGGGGGGGGTGCTGTGACCCTCGGGAGCTCAGGACCCTTGTTATATCTGACCTCCCTGGTACTGCTGGTAGGAAGGGTGCTGGCTGGCAGCAGCGGGCAGGTGGGATGGGTGCTGGTTGGTAGGTGAGATGAGTAATGGTTGGCATCGGGCAGGTGGGATGGGTGCTGGTTGGTGGCGGGGGCGGATGGGTGCTTGCTGGCAGGTGGGATGGGTGTTGGTTGGTGGCAGGCGAGTGGGATGGGTGCTGGGGATGGGTGCTGGTTTGGCAGGTGGGATGGTTGGCATGGTGAGAGTAGACAGCAGCTACAGGTGGTATGGGTGCTGGTTGGAAGCAGGCAGGTGGGATGGGTGCTGGTTGGCAGGTGGGATGGGTGCTGGTTGGTGGCATGCGGGTGGGATGGGTGCTGGTTGGCAGGTGGGATGGGTGTTTGGCATGGTGAGAGTAGACGGCAGCTACAGGTGGGATGGGTGCTGATTGGAAGCGGGCGGGTGGTATGGGTGCTGGTTGGTTGCAGGCGGGTGGGATGGGTGCTGGTTGGCAGGTGGGATGGGTGGTTGGCCAGGTGAGAGGGGATGGGTGTGGTTGGCAGGTGGTATGGGTGCTGGTTGGTGGCAGGCGGGTGGGATGGGTGCTGGTTGGCAGGTGGGATGGGTGGTTGGCATGGTGAGAGTAGACGGCAGCTACAGGTGGGATGGGTGCTGGTTGGCAGGTGGGATGGGTGCTGGTTGGTTGCAGGCGGGTGGGATGGGTGCTGGTTGGAATCGGGCTGGTGGGATGGGTGCTGGTTGGTGGCATGTAAGGGGGATGGTTGGCCGGATGAGGGTAGCTAGAGACACCCGGTTGGCCTCCTCCTCCTCCTCTCTGGGCTCCTGTTTGATGACCAGGGGCCTGAGGCCATTGTCCATCTTGTTGTCCAGGTAGGTGGCCATGCAGCCATACATGGAGGGGAGGGTGTCCGGGCGCCCCTCCGAGCCCCGGTTGGTAGTCTATGGTAGCCTTGGCTCGGTCGTGCTTGCTGTTATGGAAGAGATCGGCCAGGAACTCGTCGTTGAAGGCGGCCGGGTCGATGTAGGCGCTGATGTCTATGGAGTTCTCGTTGTCGCACAGCTCGGTCACGTCCCCGGCGGCGGGGGGGCTCCCTGTAGCCGTAGGCGGCGTGCTGCTGAGGCTGGGCGTTCATGGATGGCCGGGATTCAACCTCGTAGAAGTTGGCTAGCTCCATGGAGCTCCTATAGCCAGCCAAGCATGGTGACGAGCTCCGGGAATCCAGGGTGAGCTCGGGCTGACCGATCAATCGCTCCACTTCCCCACCAACACACCGACCAGCTGCTCAACACCGACTTGCGGAGCACCGCTGTCACTCTATATAGAGGCAGCAGGGGGGGCGCAGCGCCACCTAATGCACGGTCAGGGGTACTGCAGCCGGTGGAGAAAACAGTCCTCTGGAACTTCTCCGGCGGCCTCCAGCGCTTCCTTCCCTGCAATCCCCTCGCAGCATCGCCGCCAGTGCAGTATCCTAAATGGGAGGGACCTAAGATCCCTGTCAGCTGCCTGCCCAATCTTCCCCGGGCTGCCAAGATCACCGATTGGTGTGCAGTGCCCTGATGTCTATCGGCTGCTTCATTCAATGCCTGACCAATCACAGCCTGCAAAAACAGCTAGCTCCCGCCTCTCAAGCCTGCTGACCAATCACAGTCCACACATAAGCAAAGTCCCGCCTCCCATATCTACTGATCAATCACAGCCTCTCCATAACCCTCACGCCTCAAGTTCCCGCCTCTTCTGCCTGCTAATCAATCTCAGCCCACACACCGCAAGGTCCCGCCTCTTACGCATGCTAACCACTCACAGACCGCAAGGTCCCACCTCTCATGCGTGATAACCAATCACAGCTCTTATCCATAGAAAGGTCTCGCCTCTCCAACCTGCTAAACCAATCACAGCACGCACATAAGCAACGTCCCGCCTCTCGTACCTGCTAACCAATCAGAGCGCGCAACAAAGTGCACACCGGAATGTTTTGCGGGGATGTGGATAGGCGTGTAGTAGATGGACACGAACCGGGCGGAAGACGGGCGAGAAAAAGGAGTAAACCGGGCGGAAGACGGGCGAGAAATAGGCGTAAACCGGGCGTAGGGTGGGCTCTAGATAGGCGCAATCTAGGCGTAAAGTCGGCTTACATGGGGCACCAGAAGAGGAGAGAGCTGTGCCCATGTTGGAGCTCCTATTACCGCCTATCCTCCCTAGCAATGACTGGAGCCCCGGAGAGACGGAAAGGACTGTGAGGGGGTTTAACCATCTGTGTGCCGAACCAACTCGGACATTTCTCTCCTACATGTAAAAATCGGCA